GGGGCATGGAGCTGGAATGCACGGGGTTGGGGGGCACGGGGCTGGGGTATATGGGTCCATAGGCTTACTCCCCTCCCTTCCCCACCCAGGAGCACTACATGGCCAGCCTCATGCCCCTGCAGAAGAGCATCACGCCCTGGAAGGTGGGGGTCCTGGGGGCGTCCAGGGAGTGGGGGTTCCCTCCTCACCCGCAGGAGGGAAGGTCTGGAGCAGACGGGGCAGGAGGCTGTGGCTGTGCAGGAGCCATAAGGCTCAAGGCCATCATGTTTGTGAAACTGGGGGCCGCAGGGCAGGAGGCGGACAGGACCCTTGGAGGGGCTCAGGGCCTGTTCCTGGGAAGGGCTCTCCGGGATCTGTGCCAGGCAGGGTGGGGCCTGGGGGTCTTCAGGTGTGGCGAGGAGTGTTTCTGTGAAGCGTGTCGGGTGCAGGCCTGTGAGTTCCCATGTGCTGACCCCCCACCCCCCTCTCAGACTCCCCCCCAGATCCACCCCTTCAGCCAGGATGACTTCCTGCGGAGCCTGGAGCATGCCGGGCCCCAGCTCACCTGCATCCTCAAGGGCGACTGGCTGGGTCTCTACAGGTGGGTGGACAGTGGGTGCAGGTGGCCTGTGCCCCCGCCTTGGTCCACAGGGCCATCCCATGGCCCCTGCCTGTCACTCCCCACAGGCGGTTTTTCAAGTCCCCCCATTTCGATGGCTGGTACCGGCAGCGGCACAAGGAGATGGCCCTGAAGCTGGAGGCCCTGCACCTTGAGGCTATTTGTGAGGCGGTGAGGGAGGCTGCGGGTTGACGGTGCAGAGCATGGCGGGGTGGGCACAGGCCCAGAGCAGGGGAGGGCCTTGCTGACAGCAGACCCCATCTTACTCTGTAGAACATTGAGACCTGGATGAAAGACAAGTCTGAGGTGGAGGTCGTGGACCTGGTCCTGAAACTTCGCGAGAAGCTGGTGAGATGCCTCCCAGTCTTGTCCCAGTACCACTGGCCTGGCACGGAGTTATGCCTGCCCTGACTGCTCCTGCCCTGCAGGTGCGGGCTCAGGGCCACCAGCTCCCTGTGAAGGAGGCAACGCTGCAGCGGGCCCAGCTGTACATCGAGACGGTCATCGGCTCCCTGCCCAAGGACCTGCAGGCCGTCCTGTGCCCTCCCTAGGACAGAGCCAAGGGCCGTGGTCCCAGGAGCCTAGGTCTGCCTGAGCCTCCCTCTCCCCAGTGGCCACGGCACTGGGCCAAGCACGCGCTCCCCTTCCTTGGCCCCCCGCCCAGACTGCAGGCTCCCCTTCCTGCACCACCATTGTCTCAGCAGTAAAGGCGACATTTGGAACCACAGCATGGCCCTGACCATAGGGATTATATGCAGGCTGAGCCTTGCCTCCTCCTGGGCCCCACCTGGCCTCCGCAGACTGCAGGCTGGGCCGGGGCGGGGACAGGCTGGGAGCCCTCACTGGTGTGGGTGTGTCCACCGTCTGCCCCTCCGGTGCCCATCTGTTGGCCCCCAAACCCCCTGTGCTGTGTGTGGTGCTTCCTTCAGCCCGGCAGGCTGCCCAGGGCAGGAGGGACCCTCTCCCAACACAGCTGCCCACCCCTGTCTTGTCGGGATGGGAGGGTACTTTGTACATAGTCATCAACTCAAGAAGGGGAGAGATGGCTTTGCAGTGTGAAGAGTTCTGCCCAGCACCCCAGTGCCCCTCTGGGCCCCTGCCTGCCTGGGGCTGTGGTTTGTTTGGACGTAGGGGGTGGGCAGGGGGCCATGTGGGGCCCAGTGCCTCTGCTAGGAGAGCTGGCTCAGCCTAGCACTCAGAGGGTCCACAGCACCTTCCTGGCTCCCAGTCCTGGAGCCCCCACCAGGTGCCAGCTCCGTGCTCCCGCCTGAGAGGTGGACAGGGCCCCTGTTGTCTGTGTGTGTCCGTCCATCCCCACATGCAGCCGAGGGGCGCTGGGCTCTGGCCTGACCCTGCCTCTGGCTGGAGCTGCATGTCTCCCTTTCCTTGGTAAGAGCCACCTCTGGGTCATGTGCACCCCCATGCGACACCTGCAGGCACTGAGCCCTGTGATGTATAGTGCTGACAGCACTGTCAGGGCTCCGGACCGCCAAGCCCCCGTTCAGCATCATACACTGTGCCTGGGGATAGGTCCCCTGACCAGTCAGACCCTCGCTTCTCATCTGAGAGATCCAGAGATCCACGCAGATGCCTGACGGTGCTGCGAGGGCCCACCCATGGAGACTGGGCCTGGTGCCCTGCAAGGCCAGGCAGGTGCTGGCCGGGGGGCAGGGCTGGAGCAGGGGCTTTTCATTGTCTTCTGAGGCCCCCACTCAGTGCGATATACTGTGTGCATTCTCATTGGTGCACTCAGACCACAGCTTCCAGCGAGGCTGGACACCCACGCACTTGTTGGCCACTTCAGTGCAGGGTGTGACCGAGCCACGAGGGCTCCGGGGTCAGGTGTCAGGTGTCAGGTCATTCTCAGAACTTGGTCCACGTCGACTTGTCCAGCCTGACTACAGCCCAGGACAGCCTGTCCCTGTCCCCATTCTACAGACAAGGATACAGGCAGCGGGGAGGGTGACGAGGAGACTGTTCAGCCCAGATGTCTGGTGCAGGGTCCCGGGACGTGGCCACGTTAAACAGAGCACATAGCGGCTGAGGCAGCAAATCGGTTGTGTGGCACTGGCAAGCCGGGGCCCGAGGGTGAGAAAGGTCCTCGTGCCAGACGCAGCTTGGTGTGCCCCGACTGTGGCATGGGGCGGCCTCCCTGCCGAAGGCTTGGTGTCTAGCAGGTCTGCAGAGATGCTGGCACTTCCTGTGTGGCCAGCTGGAATGTGACCTTCGTAAGATGGGACCTGGGGGACAGTGCAGGCCCTCCATCAGGGCCCTCTGCAGAAGCCCCATGCTCATCCTGGCCCACTGAGGACCATCACATCAAGGTGTCAGGGCAGCTTGGGAAGAGGACCCACCCTTCTCAACTGTGACCCGATTTGGGGAGTACACCCCATGTACCAGGCAGCCTGTGCTTCCCCATACCACAGTCTGGTCTCCCTTGGCTTTCTGAGGACTATAGGGGAGGGGCTTCAGGCTGGTCTCTGAGAAGCCCCTAGGGACCCTGGCCACTGTCTGTCCAGAAATGTACAACCGGATTTCCCTGGAGGGCTCTGGTGAGGCCACATAGCAGGGAGGAAGGCTTGGTGGGCACTGGGCCAGGTGGGCAGCATTGGACTGGGCAGAAGCCAAGGCTGAGGTAGAGGGTACTGTCCCAGTCCCTCTTCCTGTCCCTGCCTGTGCAGAAGAGCCTCAGGGTGGAATGTGGCCTGAAGTACGCGGTGAAGAGGCAGGAAGGTCCAGACTGCTCTACCCCTGGCCAGAGTGCCAGCCCTCGCAGGCAAGAGGGGCTGTGCTGGGCAGAACTTAGCTGGCCAGGATGAGGACTGCTGTGGTCACTGAGGCCTCCCGAAGGATGGGGACCACAGGGTTTAGAGGATGGAGAGGGCTGGGAGCAGGCTGGAGTGGGCCTGGGGGCTGAGGGTGCACACAGGGCCTGCTCAGGGACAGGAAGGACAGCTGCTCACCCTAAGCTTCCTGTCAGCTATTTAAAGACTCCCTTTTAGTCTAGAATAGTGGCCTTCCCACGGTTTCGCTATTAAAACGTCCTTTTGTGACACAGTGCTTGTATTTTAACTCCTTTTTTTGATAAAAAGTTGGCAGCCTTGTCAGACCCTGGTAATTTTGGGGTCCTCTTCAGCGAGGGGGACGGTAGCCGAGATGTGGATGTGGTTCAAGGCCCAAGGGAAGAAGTGGGCAGGAACCAGGCCTGGCTGCTAGAGGGTGGGAGAAGGCAGAGACCGAAAGATCTAAGTCAGACAGGAGGAGTTTGTCACATGTGGCGGGGCAGATCCCAGGTCAGGTTGGGGAAGCAGAGGAGGGGGGGATGCCTGGATCACGGACAGGAGGAAGCCAACCGAAAGGACCAAGGACAGGGGCCACAAGGCCCGGCAGGTCTGGTAGAAGGTGGCCCCAGGGTGGGGGTGAGGCTGAGGGCTTGGGGAATGCTGCTGTCTTCTGCTCAGCACGTCCAGTCCGGGGAGAGCAGTAGGGGCACCCTCCAAGCAATGGCCCTGCAGAGGGTTTTCCATCTCTTCTCAAGTCCAGGGAACACCAGGAGCATTGGGGCCAGGACTTGGGGCCTAGGATGCCAGAAGTGGGGCAGCTCTGTCCCAGAAACCAGAACCCCCAGAAGGAGGTCTAAGTCTACCCACCTCCACGCCCTGAAGGACCAGTATGGGGTCCCGGGTGCAGCTTACCGAGGTGCTGCTGGGGGCCAAGGATGTGCTGGGAGGCGTCTCCAGGTGCCCAGCTTCCCTGGGAAGGTTGAGGGGCTGAGACCCCTGGGAATGGTTTCCCTGGGGAAGTTGGGTTGAGACCCCTGGGAGAGGGCCAAGGTCCAGCAGCCCCCAACTCTGGAAGCCCCCACCCCTGAAAGCTGCAGGGGAGTGGCTGGCCTGCTCCCAGTCTTCGGGTGAGGGTATGGTGCCTGCCCATCTCCACTGGCAGGGACCCTCAGAGACGTTCCTCTGGCCAAGCAGGAGCACTCCCATAATGTCATCTTCTAGCGCCAAGCCCTGGGCTCCCTTCAGGCCTGCAGGGCTCCTTGTGGGTGGGGGGCTTGGGGGGGGCTCAGGCCAAGACCTCTTCGGGGACAGCGGTGTGTTGGGCAGGGCGCTGCCCTGGCGGAACCTGGGTCTCGAGTGGCCGAAACTGGGTCTGGGGTGGCCGAACCTACCCAATCACGCTGTAGCTCCTGGGCCAGGGAGGCGTGGGGGGCGCGCGGGGAGTGCTGGCGGCTCCCTCCCCTCCCCTGCCCTCCCCTCCCGTCCCTTTCTCCCCGACTTCCCGTCTCCTACCCTCCCCTCCTGTTCTCTTCTGCCCTCTCCTCCCTCTACCCCTCCCCTCCCTCTACCCCTCCCCCTCTCCCTCCTCCTCCCTCTCCCCCTTCTCCCGTTCTCCCCTCCCTCCCCTCAACACGCTCGTCGGGGGCGGGGCAGGCGGCTCCCGCGCGCTCCGGCCCCTCCTTGGCCACACAAAGGCCCCGTCTCCATGGCAGCAGCGCGGGCCAGAGCGCAGCGCCGAGCGCGGCCCGGGCGCCATCGAGCCTTGGCGGCGGACGTGCAGGTACCGAGCTCGGGGGACGGGGCTGCGGGGAACATCGCGCTGGGCAGGGGGGGCTTCGCCGTCAGCTCCGCTCCACCCGGGCCTGCCGCGCTCGGGCCTGCGCACCTGCGGCGGCTGCGGCTCCGCGGAGGGTTCTCGGGGCCTGGGCCCCGTCAGTCTGTCCGTCCGGCGAGGCCCGGGCCGCTCCCGCCCCACGCCCTTCCCCGTGGGGACTCGGGGGACGGGCCCGGCCGGCGGGGCCTCCGCGTCGCTCCCGAGCCGCATCGGATCCCTCCTCCGCCCCTGCCCCTCACTTTTCAGCCACCAAGCTCCGTGCGCCGAGCGGAGGTGGTCCCCGCGCTGCGGGCGCTCCGCGCTGGCCCCAGGCTCAGCGGCACCGGCGCCTGGCATTGCCCGAGCTCCCGGGGGCCCGACACGCACCCCTGGGGCCTCCTTGGCGCGGGGGGACCAGGGCGGAGAGCACCCGCCCCTGGCGAGACCCCACGGCCTGGGCCTCCTCGCGGCTCCTGGGGTGGCACAGAAAGTCTTAGAAGCGGGGGTGCGGGCCCTGTCTCTCCCCTGCTGACCTTGACCCTCCGCATCCTGCTCTACATGAAGCGGCTGCCCTTCCAGTCCCCACTGGTCGGGCTGTTCCGCAGATCTGGGGAGCCCGACTCCCCCTGTCACCTGGGGGTGTCAGCCCGGGAGCCCTGGAGCTTCCTGCTAGGCCCTTGACTTCTCTTCCCGAAGCTCCTTGGGAAAGGAGGAAACTGCCCACGGTCTGTGCCCACCGTGGTCTGTGGCAGAGTCAGCACAGGGGGTGAGGGTGGACCCCAAAGCCGGTGGATCCCAGGGGCCTGGAGGGCTCCCTGGGCCCCACCTTCCCTGGAGCTCCCCCCCTCCCCCACTTGCTGTCTGACTTCAGCCCGTTGCTTGGAGGCTCTGAAACCTGTGAGGCTTTAAAGTTGAGCTCCCTCAGGAGCCCTTTGGGGTGGGAGAGTGAGGCTGCCGGAAGTGGGGGCCCTCAGCCTGCTCTATGCCCAGATGACCCTGGCACAGAACAGCTGGTGGGAGGTGCCCTCCTTTTCCTTCCCAGAGGCGAGAGTCCCCCGGAGGGCAGGGGCAGTGGGCATTTTTTTGTGACGAATCAGCTTTTCACGTGTTGCACAAAAATCCCGGGAGCCG